GACAGTTGATAATTAAACCCCATCTGACTGGGGTGTACATGAGTTGACTGTATAGGACAGTTGATAATTAAACCCCATCTGACTGGGGTGTACATGAGTTGACTGTATAGGACAGCTCATAATTAAACCCCATCTGACTAGGGTGTACATGAGTTGACTGTATAGGACAACTGATAATTAAACCTCATCTGACTAGGGTGTACATGAGTTGACTGTATAGGACAACTGATAATTAAACCTCATCTGACTAGGGTGTACATGAGTTGACTAAAAAGGATAAGTGATAATTAAACCCCATCTGACTAGGGTGTACATGAGTTGATTGTATAGGACAGTTGATAATTAAACCCCATCTGACTGGGGTGTACATGAGTTGACTGTATAGGACAGCTGATAATTAAACTCCATCTGACTGGGAATTACATGAGTTAACTGTATAGGACAACTGATAATTAAACCCCATCTGGCTGGGGTGTACATGAGTTAACTGTATAGGACAGTTGATAATTAAGCCCCATTTGGCTGGGGTGTGAGTTGATTGTATAGGACAGCTGATAATTAAACCCCATCTGACTGGGGATTACATGAGTTTACTGTATAGGACAGTTGATAATTAAACCCCATCTGGCTGGGGTGTGAGTTGATTGTATAGGACAAATGATAATTAAACCCAATCTGGCTGGGGTGTACATGAGTTGACTGTATAGGACAGTTGATAATTAAACCCAATCTGGCTGGGGTGTACATGAGTTGACTATATAGGACAGTTGATAATTAAAACCTGTCTGGCTGGGGTGTACATGAGTTGACTGTATAGGACAGTTGATAATTAAACCCAATCTGGCTGGGGTGTACATGAGTTGACTGTATAGGACAGCTGATAATTGCAGCAGCTACTCACCTGAATAGGAGTTAGTGTTTCAGCTGCAATTTAAATCTTCAGTGATGATCAAAATTACACCCACTACTGCTTTGGTAATTAACTATTAAAATGTAAACTATGTCTTTATGCTTTGGAAATATACATTTTTAAGGTATTCCTCTGGATTAGTTCAAAGGCTGTAAACAATTTTTTTTATGATTTAAGCAAACAAATCAGTCATAATACAGAAAATTATACCCAGAATGAGACAGGCTGTATTAAGTAAAATAAATCTAAGGAACTGTCAAAAAATTGAGATTGAAAGGACTAGAAGAAACAATTGCATGTAATTCTTGAGTTTTGTAAATTTTCTTAGATGGACAGTAGAGCATGCAGAAATGGATTTTGTATAGTTTAACAGCAACCAAGAAGCACTTTCTTTAAATTTTTCTTAAAAGTACATTGCACAGTATGAATGTAATGTATTTTCTCTACTCTAGGGCAACCAGTTTGTTATTTTAAGTTTGTCACCAACCCACATTCATTTGCTCAGACTGTAGAAAACATGTTTCATGTATCATTTTTAATCAAGGTAAGAGGTATTTTTTATGATTTCAATTTTTTCTATGCTCTAACAGAACTTTTACATGTTAAACTATAATGTAATTTTCATAAAATGTTATTCTTAAGTCTAAAATTCGATGTAAAAATAAATTTCAGGTCAAGTTGAGGATAAACATTACTTGGATAAAATAACTTGCTCATTCTTAACTATTGTGTTTGTCAAGCCACCTAAAGATGCCTACTGTACCCAAACTACCTTTATACACCTGCTTTCCATATTTTGGAAGACAGAACTCTATTATCATGAAACAGTTGAAACATTATGTAACTCTTACTATCCTCAAATTGACTTGAATGCTATTCTTCAATTAACATGAAAAAAATACACAGCTTAATGATTTTATATGTATGTCAATATGTGTAGTAAGTATTAGTAATAAGCAAATATCATATTTAAATTGTTGCATACATTTCATCATCTTTTCAAATTATTCAAAGACAATGTAATGTTCGTGTGTATTCTATGATCCTCATATAAAGTATGTAACTTTTAGTGTGAAATTTTTAAAGTGTGAAAATCTTATTATTAAACCTAAAATTACTGATGAGGTCCACCCTGTCAGCTTTTTAAACAGATTTTTCTAAATTATTTATGGACCAAGTTGTTTGTGAGTGAATGACTATGTTGGATTACGAGTAAGTTAAACAAAAATATTTTTAATATTATAGTTAAGCCAACTAATTATTGCTGGGATCCCCTATGCATTTCACATAGAAAATGAGAGTGATTTCAACCTATGTTTTGGTCAGTTGTTTACATTGAATTTGTAACAAGAAAAAACATATAATGACTCAGTATGTCGACTACTGGTAAGAAATAGTATAAAGACAACTTGGTAATTTGAAGATTAAAGGTAAATATTAAGGAGGTGTTTTTAGGGATTTATGATATTAAAAGTATTGTGTGTAATTGTTTAGATTATTACTTCAAGGAGATAATAAAAATAAACTTACAATATCAAATATAATGCAATGGCTGAATAGTCCTTATTTAAATTGGGTTTTATTGATAAATAAAAATTGTCTCATTTATTTGGAGTGTATGTTCATCAATAAGCTCTTGTCATTATTTTTAAGTCTTCGTTTTTGATTGTTGGATATCATAGTTCTTCATCACATGTTTTTGTATGCTAAAATTTGAAATGATGTTGAATTATCAGTTTCTTTTATTCCCACACTTAGTTTTCTTGTGGTGTTACCAGTGTAACTGGAGTTACACTTGGCATGAGATGTCTGAAGATTTAGAATATTATATTTTACTTTGAATTAGTTATTTACTCAAAATTGGGTTTTGAACCCAATTTTTAGCTGTCCTTGTGAATATCTGATTTTGATAACTTCACACTATTTGTTTAAATAAAAATTATTTCATCTCGTAAATATTGAAGAACTAAGACTAGTGGTAATTTGAATATAGTATATTCGCCATTTAAAATGGTGTTGACTTGGTTAATTTCATTTAATGAAATTCTCTGACAATTAATATCAACTTTTCTTTACCATGGTTTAATTTATGTTGTATTTTCTCCATGGTTTGTGATAATTTGTAAAAACTTGTATAAGATATATCTTTTTATCTATATGGCACAAAAATGTCTATATGAAAATGCAACCTTGTATATGTATATGTTCATAGTATGAATTATAAGAGATTTTTCCATGTTTTTCAGTAATAAGGTATCCAAAAAACAAAGAATTTTGATACATTTCTTCCAAAAGGGGCTTGGCATAGCCAGGTGGTTAGGGCGCTCAACTCGCAATCTGTGGGTCGCTGGTTCAAATCCCCGTCACACCAAACATGCTCGCCCCTTTCAGCTGTGGGGGCGTTATAATGTGACGGTCAATCCCACTATTCATTGGTAAAAGAGTAGCCCAAGAGTTGGTGGTGGGTGGTGATGAGTAGCTGTGCCTTCCCTCTAGTCTTACACTGCTAAATTAGGGACAGCTAGCGCAGATAGCCCTCTTGTAGCTTTGCGTGAAATTCAAAATAAAACAAACAATCTTCCAAAGGGAATGTAATACTATTGGGACATTGATTTATATAATCTACAAATAGGCATACATTTTGTTTAAAAACAATAAAGGTATCAACATATGTGTAGTAATATGACTTGAAATCAGCTGGCATTTGATTAAGCCATTGATTTTCACAATAATACAAAAATTTTTATGTAGTTTGTAAAGGACTTAAATTATACAGGTAATATATTTGTGCTAGTCAGAATGTTGAATTTTTGTAGCAGTATATTATATTGCAAGAAATTACAGAGATAAGTAAAGAACTTTTTTTCTGAAGACTGTTTTTTTATTAATTGGTTAATCAGCTCAATTTAAAGACCTTGCTTAAAGTTATTACAGAGCAGCTTCATTTCACATTAAATAACCAGTTGTGTGATAATGCTGCTGAAGTGCAAGAGGTTCTCCATTAAGTTCTGGATTAGCTAATCCTCCTTTTCTGTGTTACCATAAAAAATAAGTGGCTAATATTAAGCTATTACAAATGTTGGTGATACTTTTACTGTTGGAGCCTGGTAATAAGGGTGCTTGACTTGCAATCTGTGAATCATGGGATCGAAACCTTTCAGGTGTGGGAGCATTATAATGTGACAATCAATACCACTGTTTATTGTAACAAGATATGCTGGTGGGTGGTGTTGACTAGCTGGCTTTCCTTTAGTCTATTACAAAATTAGGGACAAATATAGCTCTTGAGTAGCTTTGCATGAAATTCTTTAAAACATGTTTTCTGTTTTAAGATAACTTGAATCAGTCTAATAATATTATATTCACTGTACAGAAAGGAATCGATTCCAAATTTCCTTTTCTTGGAAACCCTGAAAATGGAATATTTTCTGGAGCATATATCAGAAATCTTCATATACAGGATTTTATTGTCATATATACAAAGTTCTGACATGTAAGTATCTCGCACAACTTCTTGTACTTACAAACTGTCACAAAACAGTGGTAACTACAAACTGAAATAAAGTGCATCAAAGAAACATTATGTTAAATGCTTATTCACAGAATCCCATTAATACAATGATACACATATTACAGAAGACAGTTAACACTTGTAAATAGTGATTGTACTGTATCTAAATTTGGAAATCAAAATTGTCAAAATCAGCTGTGAAGAAGTTCAGCTAAATATTGTTCAAGCCACAACTCTGATTAAAATATTCTTTTCAAAGTGAAAGAGTTTATTCATGTGCTACAAACATCTCATTGGTGTATAAGCTCCAGTGTGTTAAGCATAACTCCATTTACATTGGTAGTACCACAAGGAAGCTGAGTGTGTGAATACTGGCAGTTCATTATCAGTCAAATTCTAGCATACACAATACATGCTGGAAGACTGTTAACATTTAAAAACATGATGGACAACTTAAATAAAGTGAGTTTCTACCCAATTTACTTAAGATTATTCAGCTGCTGTACTATATTTGAGATTATATATTTGAATATAAGTGTTTTTAATACTTGGACATACATTTGTGAATCTTATTAGGAGGGAGCTGCAGTATTATCTTTGAATGAAGACCATCTTCCAGTCATTGGTAAGTTGTTTATTTTGTTTTAGCACTGTAAAGATAGCAAGTGTATGGAGCTGTAAGAAAGTATGCTTTCAATTTTCATGTTTTATCTTTGTTAAATAGTTTTTTGATAGTGACTAATAAATGAAATAAATTTTGAATGTTTTTTGTAAATAATAGATTTTTATGTGATGAATTTCAAATATAACAGTGTATTAGTGACGAGTATTGTGTGGTTTTATTGTTATGTCCATGTCTTGCTTTATCACAAAGTATTGTGTAGTAAGGCTGTTGTACAGATACTGTAACTTCTTCAGATTTTTCAAAAACATTAATTTCTTTCCCCACAATCCTTAAAATCTGAAATATTGGTTTTTTGTAAAGGAAAAACAATTTTTTTTTGAAGGCTTAGTATCAAAGAACAAGTTTTATAGGAAAGAGCCAGTTAGTTATTTGTAACCACCCCAATACAAGATACTATAATGATGTATTTTAACTGAGAACTCTTAAGCTGTAACACATATTTTTGAAAAGGATGTTTAAACTTCATAAAGGCTGCAGAATGATGACCAAAACATTTTTCTTTTAAAATATAAGTATAGGTATTTTTAATCATAGTAAGAGGTATAGCATATTCATGAAAAAAAATTGTGGAATTTGTTGGAAATATTTATATAAAACATGCAATTAAATTTTTAGTTTTTATCTTTGAAATAAATACAATATACTTTTTAAATGATAGGATTTTTATTTTAACTTAAATGATATGTTGTCAAGGTTGCTAAATATTAAAATTGACTTTATATACTGTGCTATTTTTTCAATACTAGTACTGTTTTAATTTATTGATTGTTAATTTTTTTTGAATTAAAGACTTTTGTTAAAAAAGTTGAATGTTTTGTTTTTTAAATGATAATATATTTTCTATTAATAACCTAATTAGGTTATTTACAGTAGCTCTCACATTTATGAATGACCATGTAGTACAGTTCTGCACAACAAATGAATGTTTTTTTTGTGACACTTGGACAATAATACTTATTACAACTGATATATTTTCATATGTTAGTTAAAGTTACACATATCATTAGTTTTATGCAACTGAGATATAATTTATATGCATAACTCATAATGAAAATTATTAAGCTAGTTTTTTGTCATGTATTTTGGATGTTAGGAAGGCAGGCTTTATATATATGCTTCAAAATAAATATAAAAAAAAAGATGTGATGAAAATTGGTGGCAAGAAATAAGGAAAAAGAGATAGAGATTGGTTTTACCAGTGTTTTATTTATATTTATATGATTGTATTTACTTTGAAGCTTGGAGTCAGTAAATGTTTGTGACATTGGGAGTAATTAAAATTGTACTCTTGCAACATCAGATTGATTTTTTTACAATTCCAATTGTTTGTAGGAGTTAGGGTTATATTACGAAGTTAGTATTTTATAATAGTTTGAAAAAAAATTGCAATTTCAAATGATACTACATATACTTTTTCATATATCGTGTAGCACCAGTGGGAAAAAGGAATGAAGAAAAAGAGGACATGCAAAAAATGTCACCAGGTTATAATGCCAATTACAATGCAAAACTGGAGGGTAAGAAGTTTTCTGCTAAATATTTTCTAAATATTTTGAAATAAATTATTTTGTAGCGATTTACTCTTTACAATTAATAAAATTATTTTAAATGTTTTATGTTGTTGTAACTCCCAGATTTTTTTATTGTTTTAATATTTGCGTGAGGTTTACTGTTTTGTTTTCTCATTAGGAATCAAAGTATTATACATTAAACTTTGTTTTCTCTAGTACTAAAAAATATAGAAAAAGAACCACTACCTTTTAACCATAATGAATTGTACAGCAAGTAGTTCTTCACTGGATACCCATTAGTACTAAAATGTCTAAACCTATTCCTATAATTGGCTGGGGCTTTCTCCTATAATCTAGCTAATTGAAGGCCAGACTTGGTGGACAGTTTGAGTTTAAGAGTTCTACTGTATACTGACCTATGTTGATTAGGCTTCTGCACTAAGCTTGTCATTAATATGGTGAACTCTGTGGAGCTAGGGTCTCCATGTTGACTAAATTGCAAATGAAGAAGTGTTGAGTAGGGAAAACTTGGTAAGCATGACTGCACTTCTCAGACAAAGATGCTTTCTTTGCCTTCGCCATGTACAAAGAACGCCTGATGGTTGCATTCCAAAAGATATACTATATGACATGCTGTCAAGTGTTTGTAGGCTTTTGGTTGTTCATGCCAATCCAGAATAGGCTTTTACAATCACTAAAGGAAGCATGCTGTAAATTAAAACTCCACTATCTCAACCAAATGAAGGATGCCATAAAGTTTTGTAATCTCAGACTAGCTAAAAGTGTATTTTTTTGGTTGGCCTCACTTAAAGTTTTATTATCTGTGCATTATAAATATAGGTTTTTAATTGCCAATTTAAAAAAAATAATATTTTTTGGAAATATTTTAACTTTAATGAGATATAATGTTTTGAAATATATTGGTTTTATTTGAGGTGTCAGAAGGAAGGAGTGAACACCAGTTCTTATATAAAAAACTTCATGCTAACAGTGTCTTTCATTTCTAACATGTTGACTTGTGTTCATTTTGCATCTGTTTTCAAGCATGTCGACCCAACTAGTACAATAGAAATGAAGAAACAGTTTTCATTTGGTCTGTAGGCCCTAGAAAAATAAAAAAAGGGAGCAAATTGGGCATTGGGATCATGTATGTAAATAGATTTTAAAAAATTCAAACAAACCTTAAATTGAATTTAAGTTTAGATATTAGTTCACTTGGTAACTAGAAAGAGAGTAAATACTTAAATCCAGATCTATCAAATGATACTAAACTATAATGCCATATTTGGTTTGTTGCATTGTTAATTTAAAATCAGTTCTTAGCAATTTGGAACTTTAATTCATATAAAACATTCACAAAACCTTTATTAATTCAATAGGAAATGAACACAAAAGCTAGTGTACTTGAGGAGTTTGAGGACACTTTTTCATTATTTTACTTTAAATACATAAAATAACCATTCATGAACATGTTAACTACCCATTAGAGTTTGTATTTTAATCACAGTATATTAAAAAATATTGTTAATAGCTATAGTAAACTTTATACTGTTGAAAGGTAAGTAACCAGAACATAATGTTTAGGTAATTCCAAAACATACTTACCTTCACTCACACTACAGCTATTATTCAACTGTTAGGGTTTCCTTCCTTTGCCCATCTAAGCATTGGTCTGATTTTTTCTTGCTTGCCCCAGTCTTTTATTCCCCATTAATTGCTCTTGGCAATATCTGTCTCATGACACTCTCCACCTATGTCAGTGCACCCTTTATCCTGGTACTGTATATATGCATCTCATTCAGATAATATTATCACTTTTTCTCGACAAATCGTTTACAAACGGGTTTCTCTGTGCTACAACCATTAAAGATAGTTTAAGCATTTGTGTTACCTAGTTGATTTAAAAAAAAATTTTTTGGCAAACTGATATACGGCATGAATTCTCTGATTCGTGTTTCCGGCATGGAGGGAAATCAAGTCTCTCCTATCTCACCTCTGATATCTAGCATTGCTCAACAGTCTGCGGGAGTCACTCTCAATTGAGGAGTGTCCTTGAACTTATTCTTAGTGAGATGGAGACATAATTGTTCCGATGGTGTTTCTCCAGAGGACTCTGAGGCTGCACTTGCAGACGATCTTGGATATTCTGAAGAGAATTTAGATTTGCTTTTTCCAATATCTTCCTTTATTCTGTTGGCTTCTTAGGAGGCCAAATTGGGATCAGCTGCTTCTGACTCCTTTTCTTCAGCTGGTAAATTGAGTGTGTGATGTTTTGTGGCTTTCCCTGGTTACTGTTGAGTCTGTGCCTTCCTTGATGGCTGAAAGGTCTAAGTTGGGACCATTGTTAGCATCTATTGATTCAAATGTCAGCTAGTCTCTTGGCTGGAATATTGGGTGTCCTTTTCAATACGTATCTCAGTTGGGCTCAGCTGACTCCCATCTAGCTCTATGCTATGGAACATGCAGTCCAACTCTTACTCACCTCTACTTCTCCCACTGTGCAGATGGCTCTCTCTCTCTCTCTTTTGGGGATGTAAGCATCACTCGAATCCCTCATTCCTTTGGGATGAGCGCACATGAGATCCTTTCAGTGGTCTGTACGTGACCAATGGATCATGAACAGCGATTCACTGGATTCTACAGTCTCCTTATTCAAATTCAACATCTTTGATCTCGAGTGGTGGTTAGATCAGAAAAATACTATGATAGGTGTTCTGCTGCTGCCACCTCATCCAGAGATCCATCTCTTCACAGATGCCTTGCTTCAGGGATGGGGGTACATATCAAATTGTCAGGAATTTCAGGACCTATGAACAGACAACAAGGCTTCCCTACACAATGTTTCAGAACTTCTTGATGTTCAAAGGGTGATGTCTCAAGGTCTGGACTTATTAATGGAAAAAATCATCATGCTTCACTTCAACAATTCCACGGTGGCATCTTACATATTTTGTCAAAGGGGCACTTGGTCCAGGTCTTGTTATTTTCGAACCTTGGATCTTCTTTATTGGGCACACTCCCCTTGCGTCATCCTACTAGCTTGCCATGTTTTAGGGATGATGAATTTGGTGGCAGATCAATTGTCTCAACCCAATTGGAATTTTCTGACAGAATGGATGCTGCTTTGCATGGTTTTCTGTGAAGTTGCTCTTGGTTCGGGACACTAAATCCGAACCAGCAACACATGCAGGCCAGCAGCAACAATAAATAAACCTTAAGGGAAAGATGATACATGGTACATGACGCTAAGGACTCAAATGATGTTGAAAAAGAGCATGTAATACCACCTTAATATCCCATTTAGGTAGCTGAAATGGTCGTTTGGGACAAAGGACCAGAAATGAATTGAGGAGGGTGGAGAGTACTGGGGTCTCAAATAATTTTTGTCTTGAGTATCTAAAGGTAGTCAATAAGGTATATAAGTTGACTGTGGAAGATGCAAAACCATTGTCAAAGAGCCAGGTCAAAAAAATTTATGGTTGGCACTTCTGGATGAAATGAGTTCAACCTCCTCGCGATACAACATTGTTGACATGTGTGCCATTACCGTGGATTAATGTCCATCATGGAACTACTCAAAGACTGAGACAGATGCAAAGCAACCTTAAAATTCAAACCCTGATGCTGTGCAAAGGACCACATAATCTCCATGGATGAAGCTTGAGCTTCAAGATGGCTGGGTGTACGATGTCGGATCATGGCTGCCTCAGAGATGGCCCAAGAGAAAGAGGTGGGCACTCATGAAGGTACTGCAGAAGTAGAAACCAGGGTTGAACAATTCATAGCTAGTACTTTGGGTAACATATGAATTGGTGGGAAGGCATACAGGTGCAATACCATCCAGTACTGACTGAATGCATCTATTGCCAATGCCTAAGGGTGAGGTACAGAAGACCAAAATGCCAGTAGTTCGGTGTTTCAATGAGTGGCAAACACATCAATCATCGTTTTCACTGCATGCACAGGATGCTTTATAATTCTACCTAAGTTCTCCTATACCCAGACAGGTCCTTCTTACCTAAGCCAGAGAAGGTGATAAATCCTTTTCACCGATTCATCTGACTGCTGTTTCTCATCTTTATGACCGATCAGGTCCCGATCGTTTATCATGTCCAGTGAGGGCCGTGAATTGTTATGTTGCCCACACTAACGCTGTTAGAGGTGCTCAACAATGACTTTTTCTTCATTGGGATCCTTCAGTTTCCCAGGATTTATCCCCAGCTACTTTGTTGAGGTGTGTAAGAAAATTGATCTATATCTCTTATTCTAGGCACATTTTGAAGGTGAGGAGACTTCTGCAAGTCACATCTCATCAGATTTGTCACATTTATATGTCCTTAGCAGCCTGGTTGAATTGCCCACTGGTGGACATTGTGTGGGCTGGTATGTGGACCTCCTCCAATGCTTTTATCTCACATTATTTGCATGACCTGGCAGTATCTTCCTTTGAGGGTTTTTGACTACCCCTGTAGCTATCTTAATTAACTACACCAGTAGACTATAAGGAGGGGTGAGTATTTTCATTACTAATATTGTCTCTTCTTTACATTCCAGGGTCCCTTATCTCTTTTTCACAGAATCACACTCTGTGGCGAGTGTTGCCCAGTTAGGTGTGCTTTTATCAAATCAATTCCATACTACCAACCATTAACACAATGTATTTTATCTAGGTTTCAACAGGCTCTGTAGAAATGAGGTGTTCCATTAGACTGCCTAGAGGCAGACCAGGTGATATTACTGTAATATTCTGGACCACCACTCATGTACTATCATGAGTAAAGCATAAGGGGATCCTGCCCATCCCTGCTGATCATAGGATTGAAAAATCAAGGCATTGGTTCGCTTTTTAAAATTTAGGAAACTTGGTTCACCTATTGCACTACTTCCAGAGCATTGCTCCTCAGGACTCCCCATTGCGTATTACTACCACCTCCATATTCTACTAGTGGAGCTAGGGAGTCTTTACCACACCCAGTTTCTAGTCACTGGGGTGATGGACAGAGGTTATTCCTCCAGAGTGTTCAAGTGAATTTCCTACTGAGAAGAGAGTGAAATTGGGGGCTCTCCTACCCAGTACCTTGGATTTTTTTTTCCCCAGATATCGGTATACTAGTTCAGGTTTGATGCTCGGCTGTCTAGTTGGGTTGAGTGTGGCCATTCTTTTTAATCAGTATTGGTTCAGTACATTGTTCATGGAAGATGGTACATTGTCTTCTTGTATTTCCAAACACAGGGTGGTTCCTTCCTGGTTCTTTGGTTGAGCACAGTTTGTTCCACGTCCTCCCCATAATTCCGGGGACAATTGGAATTTACCTTGCCCACATGGTCAGGGAGTGAAGATGAGGGTTCATATTTCCAGACTGAATGAGTTCTGTTTCATCACGTTGAATATGGCACGAGAAGAGGGTTTGTCCACTTCAGTGTTGTTTACCTTCTCATCATGATTCTGATGGCTTGGAATGCATCACTCTGTAGGTACAGGATGGGATCCACTCAGAAGTATAGATATTGGGGTCCAAATGCTCTAGCCACCAATGTGGGATTTAGAGACCATGGCCCTATAATTCTAACCCCAAGCAGTGGAACTTCGGCTGTCTGGTTGGAGCCTGGCCAATAGTGATGATGGATCATACCAAATTCCACCCACATTACATGAATTATGTTTTGGGTGAAAAGCACACTTGTTCTGGATGTAGTGTGGTTCCCCCAACAGGATGCTAGTTTTCTGTTGGCATGCCCATGATCTATGCAGTCACATTCTGTATGGATAATGCCCTCACCAGCCCCTTTACCTTATCAGTGTGGTATTGTGGATGTAGTGTGAGGGGAGGTAAGTATGTTTTGGAAATTAACATTTTCTTAAACCGAAAATATATTTCCAATAATACTTACCTCCTCTAACATTCTCCCGCCCTTCCTCCCCACTGAGAGCCAGTGTTAGAGACTGCAGAGTGGGTCAGTCTTTAAAAAATGATAACATTATCTGAATGAGGTGCTTATATGCAATATCAAGATAGAGGGTGCATTGACATAGATGGAGAGTGTCACGAGACAGATATTGCCATGGGCAATTAAGTGTAGTCGAGTCATAACTGTAGTGTGAGAGGAGGTAAGTATTATTGGAAATATATTTTGGCTTAAGAAAATGTTAAGTTACTCTATTAATAATGTAATAATGTTAATCAGAGATGTACAACATCAGATCTGAATTGTGTTATTTTATAATTAAAGAAGTATTCATCATATATTCATTATTATTGTTACTAATAGTGTTAGAAAAAAAAGATAAATCTTTCTCCCAATTTCTCTAAAAGAATGACAAATAAACAACAAAATAGGGAATTTCTTTGAGTATATTTATGCACAGAAATAAATTAATTCAGGAAAAAAAAGGGGAATTCACATATCCAAACTCATGTAAGTTTGCAGTAACAAAAGTATTTTGACACACATTTATATGTTATACCATGTTAACTAACCTGTAATTAAAACAGTAAAATAAACTTATATGGCTAAGAAACCACAAAGTAAAGTGAGAATTACCACAACATAAAAGTTGAATGTTATGTATGTAATTGTTATTATTGATTGATAAAAAAGCAAAAGTTAGTATGTTACAATTATGTTCTATTTATAATAATTTATTTAACTGGTATGTTTAAAATATTTATATATTATTATTCTGCTGAAATTTAAATTTTCCTTCAACATATCTTTTACTATTTAGTATCATACTATTTCTCATTGTAAAATATGCTTTATGATGTTTTATCTAGGAAATTGTCAAGGCATTCAACATCACCAGGCCACTAATTCCACCTCGAAATGAGTCTGTGACTTAAAAAAAAAAGAATTCAACAGCTTTCAATTGCTTCTTGATAGCCAGCACTTATTGGAAATTCATAAGACTTGTCTCCAGAGAAATGGTTTTTCTTAGGCCTTTTTATAAATAACTTGAGTCATACTTAGAAGTCCATTTTTCATGTGATGCATTCCATTCTTCATCTGCTTTTCTATATTCTGAACAGCTCATCATCTGAATGCAAATATTATTAAGATGCCATTGTTAAAAAAAATTCTTTCAATTTTAGTATTTTAAAATAATTCCTTTAAAACATCTATATGGAAATGTAATGAGTGTTAAAATATTGGTACATTTTATTTGTACTCTGTATAGATTTGACTTGTATGAAATTTTAGCACTGTCTCTAATTTATTTCAAATAATGATGTTTTATTTTGCATGTAGTTTTTAGGTGACAGAAAGTTTATTTGGGTAACATTACATTTAACTAAAATATTTGTTGAAGAAATATGAACCAAGTTTTTCACCTTTAGTTTTATTGAGTTATATGCAAACTTTGGAAATAAAGAAAAGTTAAGAGAGTATAAAATTATTAGTTTTATTTGTATGTAGAGTTTTAGAATATAATTTATTTGTAAGCAACAGTCAATCTGTTCTGTTAAGATTTGTAGCTAGTAAGGTTATTAATTTTATACTTCAGGTTGACAGTGATACTAAACTTCATTGGCAAAGTTTAAAAAGCAATTAATGTTAAATTTACATTCTTTTCTCTTACATATATGTTCATTATCATTTACTATCACATTCCTAGCTTTTTACATTATACTGTGTCACTGACCAGTTATCTTTGCTTTTCAAGTATTATAGTGGTTCACCAGAGAAAAATAAAAAATGGACTTTAAGCAATCCTAATCAAGGGTAATATGTTCTACTCTGTAATATGTTTGATTTAAACTTTATATACACCTAATGTATTCATTTTGAGTTAGATATCTGGAGCTATACCTATCAACAATAAGCAGTTACATCAATAAAAAAAAACTATTTAAAATGTTCAAGAGTTTTCTGGAAGATGGTCCATTTGCCATCCTAGTGAAGCAATTATGAATTGTGAATATTTTGTATTGTGTGATTGTGTTCCTATTTAAAGTACAATAGAAGTAGAAATCCGCTGAAAATAAAGCAACAAATCACCGCTTGTGTCATTAGACTGTTTATGTGACACTGTAATACGATCTTCTTAAGAGAACGCGCACTGTAATAAGCCAACTTGACCTTTGCTCCAAGAACACGATGTGAAATTTACCAGCTTATGTATCCTACAGTGTTTACAATAAGAACTCCCTAGAGTAATAATATTGCACTTTTAATCCATGAGAGCATTTATTATAGTATATTGTTTGGAGCAGATCCAATAAACATCGCAATTGTTTAAATACTGGTCATCCTTCTGTGATGTTTGTAATTTAGCTATATACCGTACAGGCATACAAAGATAACTGCTCGATTTATCCAGTGTCCCTATAGTATAGAGAACGAGACTAAAGACACTGCACTTAATCCGGAATATCAAGGTGCATGTTATTGCAAGATATAGTTTGGTTACAAATAGCAGAAAATATAAAGAGACTGAAAAGGTCTGCCCTTAATGGTGCTGCCCATTAATTAAGATTCTACTAGATTTTAGATGGTGTTTTCGTACACATCTGATTCGAAATTCATAATAGGCTAATTAAGAGCAATGTGAGGAAGAACATCTAAACTCAAGTGTGATTTTAATCAGCATTGTTAGGCCTACAGTTTGGTTGTGGACAAGTTTTGTTCTAGAAATTGTAGAGAAATTATGTCACAATACTATCAGTTCCATCAAAACCCACTCATTGACGTGAGGATCACGCATCTGGACATATTGTGGTCCGGCATGGCCAGGTGGTTAAGGTGCTTGACTAGCAATCTGCAGGTCGCGGGTTCGAATCCCTTACCCACCAAACATGCTTGCCCTTTCAGCTGTGGGGGCATTATAATGTGACAGTCAATCCCACTATTCGTTGGTAAAAGAGTAGCTCAAGAGTTGGCGGTGGGTGATGACGACTAGCTGTCTTACACTGCTAAATTAGGGATGGCTACCGCAGATAGCCCTCGTGTAGCTTTGTGCGAAATTCAAAACAAACAAACTGGACATATTCCCATGCACACACACTCATTAGTAACCAAATTTCGCATTTTGGTAAAATTAGCAGCTTTCTGTAATGAATTATGGGCAGTTGACTGGTTGGATCCGGTTAAATTTAGCGGCATGTTGATATGGGAAATGCACCATATTTCTTCATTGAATAAAACATTTTCTGGGGGGAGTGACCCCCCTCCTGCTCTAAAATTTTACTTATTTTAAAAGTCACTCAGATACCCAAAAGTTGGCAGTCCTGATACTATATGCATCATTCAATAGATAAACACAAAGCTATTGTAAAATGCTAGCCTATAAGGCCTAACAAATGTAATGAAATCTCGCTTGATTGCAAATGTGTTTTTACCAAACTCCTTTTACTTTGTCTGTTACTAACCTAAAACAATAGGAGAGACATCGGGACGAGGGTGCTGTAGCACTCCCACTTTTACATATTTGGCTTGTACAGCAACTGTAAATTATATTAATTTTCTGGGGGGGGGTCATGCCCCCAGATCCCCTAGATTGAGCTGCTTTGAGCAGCTCCATATACTCTCATTCTGTCATTCTAAGATCTGCATGTCTATCCAAGCACCCCTACTTTGCAACTCCTTCCAACATCGCTGAATGGGTTCTTAAAAGTGGCATTTCAGTTCTACTTTTGTCTGTTGTAATACAGTGATCGGGAAATATTTCGATCAATAAATCTGATTTTATCTTCTTTGTTGGAATGATTGTGGTTCCATAGCGAAAGAAAAAAAACTATTATATAAAACTTGTAAACTGAACTCACTGGAGAGGAAGAAATCTATGGTTGTGAAAAATGTGTTCAACTACCAAAGGTTATTTTGAAGCCACTGTTGCATATATAATAAGGATAGAGATAACAAAAATGTTTAACTAAACAAGATTCTTAGATTGTTCGTTCTCATGATTGTTGTCAGATGATAAATTAGATTAAATATGTGGTAAGAAGCAGCAGCAAGAATTTAAAATTACAAAGATTATAGAAAACATTGCATATATATGATAATTGTAAATTATTTTTTAAACTGCATTTGTTTCTTTTTATCACAGTTTTCATAGTCAGGCCATTGTAGATTTTTTTGGGGCTTGAAAGCTGCAACGGGTTAACATGTTAGCGCCTTTAAATGGAAATTATAGGTTAATAAAAATAAAAGATATACAATTTAGAGTATTTATAGAATATATGTGATTTTTGCTATCCAGATGCTACCATTTTTTTTCTGAAATAGTTTGTTTGTAAGTAAGCACAAAGCTGCAGTGGGCTATCAGTGCTCTGCCCACCACGGGTATCGAAACCCGGTTTCTAGCGTTGTAAGTCCGCAGATATACCGCTGTGCCACTGGGGGGCTTCTGAAATGGGGCCAAACGAATAATATCTGAATGAATTGTGTATCACAAACTCATTTTGAAGAAAATATGAACAAGTTAGAAGCAACAGAATTTAATAAGTGAGATGATAAATGTTGCTCAAAATGTGTTCATAATTAAAAAAATTGTGTTAATCCTCATTATTCAAATTTAAACACAGTGGTTAGGTTTGCTTTTACAATGTAACTTTTGTTAAACATTAGAAAAATTTCTTCCGTATTTCCAGTGTGATGGTCATGGTATTTCATTGGGAATACCACATTTACGCGGCTGTTAATTCAATAATTTAAAATCTAAAACATAAATATTTAAAGAAGTTTTCTAACTCTTGAACAATCTTCCTGTATCAACTTTAAACAATCCTCTTTTATAAGTTGATTTTTAAGTCATTATTGAGCAATTTTTGGCGAATAACTGTCAACGTTTTACGCACATGTACTGCTGTCATCTGATTCAGCGTATTTCACGGAAACTTCCTAATATAGTCATTCACAAAAACAAAAAGCAAAAGTTTCAGTGAAAAGATTATTCCTGTGATACATGTGAATGTATTCATTATTAATGTTGCCAGATTTTGTTTCTACATACACAATATTTACATGTACAAACTAGGTAAGTCTAATAAATTTTTCTTATGATCTAAGAAAAAATATGAAATAAATATTTAAATTGCAATTTATTGTACTAAGTAAGTCTTTACATTAAAAACATAATTGTGATATGCTATTAAATCATAATACGCGAGAACACAATGTTTAGTCTAAGACATTAAGTGTTTATATGACCAATGAAATAGGATTAACAGATAATTTATTTGCCTCTTATAGCTTTTTACCCTATGCATACCAGAGGCAATCCATAGTCTCCCCTAACACCTCCCTCTCAAAAAAGTGTTGCCTTATGATGCTTAAAAAGCGAATTTTGTCAATGACCCCTGCCCTTTTATTGTTCTTTGCACGTTATTGTAACCTTTCAACATTGAAAGTACACCTAAAACAATAGAGATTAACCATTCAGCTAATAAATAATTAAATATTGTTTGCTTGTTTGTTTTTAGAACAAAACCACATTGTACTATCTACTGGGTCCACTACGGGGAAATTGAACCCCGGATTTTAGTGCTGTAAGTCCGTAAACTTACCGATGTCCCATCAGGGAACAATGAAATAAATTCATTATTGTACTTTTACTAGTGGCTTTGGTGTAATTTAAAAAATGTGAGTGGTAACAATCAGAAAACCAAGTACTTTTATTATCAGTGGTAAGTATTTAGTAAATAAGTAAGTTAGGGGATATTTATACACAGTTTTACACAAAAGCATATTGTTGTAGCGTGCTCTATCGTTTGGCGGGTTCTATCGGATTACTTTGTAAAAATAATTCCTAATACTATAAGAAATTAATTTATTTCTTCAATCAGTATATAAGATTTTTTATAACTACGTTTACTTGTAAACCTAACGTCAAATATAACGGTTCAAATA